ATCTAGTGGGCGGTGGCTGGTAATGCTGCTAAACATCCTACAGTGCACAGGACAGCTCCCACAACAGAGAATTATTAGGTCCAAAATGTCAATAGTGCCAATGTTAAGAAACTCTGCTCTACAGGGACAAGTAAGGAGGTTGTTAGCAGAGTCATGATTTGGGGCAGTGATAGCAAATATGGAACTATCTAGAACTTGATGATCAGTCAGTCAGCTGGGAGGAAGTGGAGTTTGAGGGAAAGAAAGACTCTCAGAGTTTTCTACAAACTTGTATAGAGAACTTAGGAGTAAAAGCTAATTAGGTAAAAGTAAAACAAAAGAGAAGTTTGAATCAGGACATCCGTATGGAGATATTCATTTGAAGGCCATCATCTGAACTCTGCAAAGAGATACTTTAGAATTGTCAGCAGGTACTTCTATTGTGATCCTGTGCCCCACACAATGCTCCAGGATAATCCCACCCCTCTTGCCTCAGAGAATGAATACTACAGTCAAACCAAGGGACAAAGAGGACAATTTTTGGCTTTTTAAGTACCACGTGATTTTCCTGAAACTCATAGCAGAGGAACAGTTTTGTGCATTTCAAATATTTAAGCTCTAAAGTGCTCAAGTTGTAGAGTTCATTGTCATGCTATAAGTATCTGGCTGAGATAACAGGCAAGTCCAAGTACTTTTCTCTGAGATGAAATAAAGGTTCCACAGGTAGGAGAAGAGGCGAGTCAAAAAGGATGTATAGGAGGGAATGGCTGGGACAGCAGGATTGGGTTGTAGGCATCAAATGAAACAGGAGTAGAATCAGCATTAAGACCTAAACTCCGCCTAAGCAGGCACCAAGGATCTGCTCTTCCTGGTTGTACCAAGGTGCTATGACTGGTGAAAACAACCCAAGATCAGCAGCCAGCATGCCTCTGCCTATGTGCAGCCTTCCTTTCCAATAGCTGAGAATACCTGTAGGCCTTAGGATAGAGGGAAAGCCCCACCACCTATTCTTGGATAGGGCTAAAGGGATCTACAGTCCATTACGGATGAACACTAAAGTAATTTCCCATTGCTTTGGTTACATTTCATAGGCAAGTTTCTCTAGAACTGTTTCTAGATGGCTTTTTTTTCTTCTTCAATTTTTATGTCAGCACAGAGTAAATTCACTTTCACCCGAAATATTTTCAACCTTCTTTATTACCATCAATAAGATGCATGCATTTTTCTTTGTTATTTAAGCTTATGGAATATATTTTCTAGCTTCAAGATAACTTTCTATTTCCTTTTTAAAAAACATTTATTTGTTTGTTTGTTCTTTAACTCTGCACCCCTGAATAACTCTGAAGACAGAGATATTGTCTTGTTCAACATCATATCCTTAGACCATGGCACAGTGCTGAGAACATAGCAGGAGTCTGTAATGAATGCTGTGATGTGCTGCCTGGATCCTCCCTTTAGGATCAAGGTGCTCATTCTCCCAGATGCTGCTAGTTTCAGTTGCTATAGCTCACTGCCTGATCCAATAACTAGTTGGTGCAGAACAGAATCCCTGTTCCTTGCCAAGCCAACTCCAGATCTCCCAGGATGATTGGCTAAGTCCTCTGTGGCAAATTCATCTCACTTCTACCCTTTCTGACCAGTTCTGCTTCCCTCAAGCCCTTACAAGGATTGTCCTCAAGAGTACTCTTCAGTAACCCTCCCTGATGCAAATCTCTGCCTAGAATTTGTTTCCTGGGACACTGACTTAAAACCATTTAATAAATATTTGTTGAATAAATAGATGAAGGGGTTCCTCACCCTGAGCAGAAATAATTGTGGAAAACCTCTGACCTTTATTTGTATATTTAACATTTTATTTTGTCATCTCATGCTTTAGGTGTCAGAGCCCACAGTCAAATCACTCACCCAGCCTCAGGGTCACTCATAACTTTTATATGATGACAGTATCAATACCCAGTTGTTTTAGTTATATTGTCACTTGGCCATCAGATGGCAGAGGTAACACTTGAAAAGTCACTCTCTGGCCCTTGGTCACCTCCTTCTGGATTTAACATTAAACCTAAATTACCCATTTAGTACCATTAATTTCTAAACCATTGTAATTATGGCATTGTTTCAATTTGTAGGAAAGTGTCACCACACATTTGGCCTCATTTACATATAAAAGGGAGAGTTTGGAATATAACGGAAAGAGCCCTGGACTAAGAATCAGAACCACAGCACACTGGCCATTTGTTGCATTTGAACATGCTTTTTCATCAGTAAAATGAGAATCTCAGTTCTACATGTTGAAAGGAGTAAATGAAAATTATTGGGATTGAGGAAGGAGTCTGGCTGATGATACCACATGTGTTTGTCCTTAGTCTAAGCCAGTTCTGGGTGTTAGGGAGTGGGGAGCAGGAGTTAGGGAGTGAGGAGAGTTCTCATAAGTAAAGGGACTTTGCCTGAGGAGCTAGTGTGAGTGAGGTTTTGTAGGGAGAACATCCTGATATAGTGCATTCCAGTCTAAAGCGGACCCGTGGGCGGGCAGTTGTTCCTCCTCTTGTGAGACCCTTTGAAGTTTGTTCCTCTTCCTGGAACAGCCCAAAGATTTTCTGCATGCTAGGGTGCAGGATAGATTTCTACCAAGAATCCGAAGCTCTTCTTTCTCATTTGTGCTATAACACGAGGAATAGGTAACCGACTCTGAACTGATTTTTCACCTCACTGCCTGAATTCACCCATTCCCACATCAGTGTCTGACCATGGGAAGAAGCTAGCATCAGCCAAGCCAGGATGGTTTGGTCCAGGTGCAGATGTGCCTGGGCTAGGGTAGTGAGGACAGCTCCCACCAGACCTGAGCCATGCTCAGCTAGCATTTTCCCCAGGAGACCACAGTTGTCTGTCGGCTGGCTTCGGCTCCACGGGAACCACATGTGACCGAAAGGCCATGATCAAAAAAGTGCAGATATGTTGACGATGTGTAGACAGCTTGTTAATATGTTGGAGAAATAAGACTTAGAGGTGGGCACTGTGGCCCACATGGGTAAGGAGTTTGACAAAAAGTACAACCTCAGCTGGTATTCCAAAGAGGGGAGGAACTTTGGCAATCAAGTGACACAGGAAACCTACTAATTCAACCTTCTATCTGGGCCAAATGGCCATTATGTTCAAATCTGGTTAAAAGCATGGACTGTGCCAGGCACCCAGTGATCCACCCCAAAACGAGGGCTGTAGCCTAAATTCCAAAGATAAGAGCCTGAAACCCTCAGTCTTGCTAAGGGAACACTTAGATCTTTGAATTTTTATTGTGATGTTTTTGCACAGGTGTTCTCTGTACTAGTTTGTCATGGTTATAACTAGAAAAACAGCTGGCATGTATATTTATTTTCTAGTCCATACTTCTCTGCCCTATGTTTTTTCTTTCTTCCAAATCTATTTTTTAAATTAAAAAAGACCAACTCCTCTGCCTCCTCCCCTCAAAAAAAACCAGCTGTTCAGGTTTAGTTTCACCAGCCCTGAGGCTGTCTGAGCTAATGGCCAGGTGAGTACCCTGGCTTCCGTCTAGCTAGGATACTAAGGTCAATGGAGGTATGTAGCCTGGTGTCCACTTTCTTCTTTTTCATTGAGAGAATGTATTAATTTATTATTGCTGCTATAACAAATACCACAAATTTAGTAGATTAAAACAACAAACATTTCTGTTGGTATAGTTCTGGAGGTCGGAAGCCCCAAATGAGTCTTATGGGGTTAAAAAAATCAAAGTGTCAGCAGGGTTGTCTACCTCTTCTCCAGTTTCTAGAGGTTGTCTGCATTCTTTGGCTTGTGGCTCCTTCCTCCATCTTCAGAACACATCATCCTAATCCTTGCTTCTGTTATCACATCTTTTCCTGAATCTAATCCTCCTTCCTCCCTCTCATAAAGACCCTTGTGACGGGGTCCACCTTGGTAATTCAGGATAATCTCATCTCAAAATCCTTAAATTAATCACAGCTGCAAAAGTACCTTTTACCACATAAGGTAATAAATTCACAGATCCTAGGATTACCACATGAACATCTTTGGGGAGCCTTTATTTAGCCCACCATATGGAGGTCGTTTGCTCTGGCAGCTGGAGATTGGCTTTCCATTGGTTGCCTTCTTTCCTAAAGTGCCCCCTTATATAAAAAGTTATACCTCATATTAAATTTGGACTTTATTTCTTCATCTCCCCTTGCCTGGATCAACAGTGTGATGAATCTGTCATTTGTTTGGAGTATACTATTTCTTTAGTTGGCTTATTAAGAGATATTTTCCTGTATGCTACTGGCTTGTGAAATTATTATAATTCCTACAGTGAACTTGTGCTAAATAATTCGCTGACGAAGAATCAGTTTCTGGAGAATAATTTTGCTGCCTTCTCCAAAACAAAAGTTATATATATGCAAGAATTTATCTGTACTTGGTTCAAGGCACAATGTATTTTTTACTGTTATGGTCAAATATATTATCAAAAAATTGCTATAAAGTTCTGTACACATTCATCAGTTGACATGTATAAGAAAGTTCACAGCAGCATTCTTAAGAGCAAAAGCTGGAAACAATCCAAATCTCCAGAGTAGAATGGATACATAAATGTGGAATATTAAACAATGGAATACGATATTACAGAGAATGAAAGCAATACACTTGTTTTTCTGTGGGTGAATGCCAAAAGAAATGCTGAAATAAGCGAAGTTCTAGAGAAAACATATACAATTTCGTAAATAAAGCTCAAAAATTAAACAAAATAAGATGTTGTTTAGTGATAGATATACATGATAAAACTACAAAGAAAAACAAGGAAAGGTTAAAAAAACTCAGAAGAATAAAAAAAAAACTTAAAATCATCAATACGACTAAAGGTTTGGTGAACTATGATAAAACTACAAAGAAAAACAAGGAAAGGTAAAAAAAAAAACCCAGAATAAAAAAAATAAAAAAAAAAACCCTTAAAATCATCAATACGACTAAAGGTTTGGTGAACTAATGTTTCTCAGTATTTCCCAAATTGATTGCAGCTGAACAAAGCATCTACGTCTATTTTTTGATCTCGCCCCGTCCCAGCTCATAGGGTAGCGTTCAGCACCTAGTTATTTTAATTATTTTTAAAGGTCTGAACTATCCAACAATTTGCATTATGTGTAATGTATATATCCGAAATAGTGGGTAATTTTCAATGCTAGAGCCTGGCAACGCTACAAGAGCGCTCCTTCTTTACTGAATGAATCAATGCACTTTGGCATACGTTAGTTCATTTCTGAACTCATTTTCCTCAAAATTCTTATTGCAGCTTCGGTTCAAAGCCTGCCCCATCCTCTCTACCCCATTTAGCTGACTTTAAAATCGTTAGGCTGGCTCCTCGTTCCCGAAACCCGAAGGCAGTTTTCTCTCCGTCTCTGCTTTGGGCAAGCCGAATTGGAAAACAGCGGTGTCTGGGTGGAGGAAAAGGTGCGTCCCACCCACTCGGGGGTGCGGAAAACAACAGCCTAAACTTCTCTCAGGGGATTAAGGAGGGGCGGGTTCCAACCCAAAGGGTCAATCCCAACGCCTGAGGTGTGGCACAGCGCACTCTCTGCAGTCAGAATCTAACTAAATCCACGCTCTAACATCCGTTCCCCGGTGACGTCACGTTTCCGGACTCCTGATTGGAGGAGCGCGTTAGCTCAATTATCGCGATGACTCCTCCTCCAGGTCCTCTTGCTTCCATCCCTTCGCAGCGACCCGGTGGTAGTCGATAGCAGACCACGTTGACAGTCACCAAGACACCGGAGAACTGTACCAGCTTCCGGGACTAATCTAGACGGCCGCGACTCTTCGCAGACGCCCACGGGCACGAGGTTTGGCTCTCAGGCGTCCTGTTTGCCAGATCCTCCACGGCGCGTGACTCCCCTGCGCGGCCACTTTGTTAGAGCCACCAGGTGATTCACACCAATTCCTCGTCCTCTACTGTCGCGAGAATTTGGTGTTGTTGAAACAGATTTCCGGTTGCTCAGGTCTCCTTGGAGATAGATAGCATTTTAACCAGTTTTTTTTTTTTCACCTGTCATTCCACGGACTCCACGTGGTTCGGAAATTGCTCAGAGAATGTGGGAGTCAGCTAGAGGGGTGTAGATGAGAGCGAAGCAGCGTTGAAAAGGGAAGCAGCCGGGGGACCCAGGAGGAATATAATTTGCTGAGCATCTTCTGGCCGCTTAAGGGGTGCCTTAGAGTGGGCATGGGATTTTTTTCTGTTGGGGAGG